GTGATCTAGCATTTATTAGAGATCGAAACAATTTAAATTAATGGTCTTAGTACTGATACCGATAAAGATAGATGTAGGGAGAGCGATAATATCTATGTATGTGATATACATAGGCAACGATACCAACCTGAGCATAGAACAAAACAAATTTCCAATGTCATATTTAGTTAACAGGAGCAGCATCAACGAAGAACAATTTCGTGTAACTTCAAGGTTTATATAAGAAGTAAGATCAGCAATTCATTCGATTCATATAACACGCCATGTCAGATATAGGTCTGGATTGGGTTCCAGCCCTTCACCTGACAAATAACATATGCAAATTTTATCTTAGGGACTAGACATAAATGCCAATAATTGATCAACCTTCATGCAATACCTCTCACACTAAATTCATTGCAGAAAAGGCTAGTGCAATGATTTACATTTGTCAGTGATACACCATTACCACAGCGGGATTATCTTCCTAATTTCGAACCAATAACAGAATTTGAATGTGCAAGTATGGAAACTCTTTTGGTATTCAGTGCAGGTGCTACCACTCTTCCAAAGCAGCCTCTTCAGCAGAATCAGTTCACAATAGCTAAACAGGCGGGGTACAGCTTTGCGAAATTGAACGGATCGCCAGAGTGACATGTACCACCCTTGTAATGTTGAACTGACTTCGCTGCAGAGGCATGATTGACAACAAACTTTTATATGAGCTTTCTAAACACACAACTCTAAGCTTATGGAAAACAACCGAGGAGATGTTGCAATAAGAACATGTAAAACATTCTCATGTGAACTCAATATGCTGTCGTGTATAAATCGTCATGTACAGAGTTCTCTTTTGTCTTGCTACTCTGATTGCCCAGGGGAAGACTTAAATGTATCTTCAAGGTCACTTAAAGATTTTCCACAAGTTTCAGGTAAGAAGGCACAAAGCATCAGTGTCAAAATGGCATTTGCTGAAGCGAAGACCAGGAATGCAGAGCCAAGACCAATTTCCAGCAAGTATGGAAAAACGAAACTGATAATAAAGCTAAACATTGAGAAATTCAAATTGCACACTGAACTTCCAACTGATCTCACAGGAGTGGGAATGAGTTCGCCCATGAGAGCCCAGGGTATAGGGCCGATTCCAAGGCCGTACGAGGACACGAAAATCATCACCGCTGCGAGCGGGACCCACGAAGACCCGGGGACGTCCACCAGCAGGAATACCGCGCCGACGACCTCGGCCGCTCCGCATACGAGAGACGTGGCGATCAGCAGAGGGCGACGCCCGACGCGGTCCACGATCGCCGCGCCGACCACTGTGAAGACGAGCCTCACGACGCCCACCAGGACTGTGCACACAAAGGCGTCCAGGCCGACGCCCGCCTTCCGGAAGAGGTACACCGTGTAGGAGAAGACCACGTACTGCCCTCCGAGCTCCCTCAGGATGAAGACTGCCGTCAACAGCAGAACTGGACGATAATTTTGAGGCTTGGCAAGTTGTTTGATCTGCCAAAGAGTAACTTTTATTACATGTATGATTGAGTACCAGTCAGCATGTAATGTTGTAAACATCATGCATTATTTAGATAAAGGTTGATGATATTCTGCGCAAAAAAGTGTAAGGAAGCAATTTATATGCCTTACTGTCAGGAAAGTTTACAAAATCCAATTCATTAAATTGCTAGCTAGTGATACATTTTCTCTGCCTAAAGTCAAGCAAGATAAAAAATATATATTCTGTATCTTCACCTGATCCTTTATTGTAATCTGGCATGTTCCTTGGATGCTTGATGATATTTCTTGAAATTCGAGGTTTATATTTTCGGTTGGACCCCTTAACTTCTTGAGAGACTCCAATGCAGCGTCCTTCTGGCCTCGGCGGATCAGCCAATAGGGGGACTAGATATGCAAGTAATTTGAATCAAACTTTATTTTTCCCATGTTTATTTGGCTAAAAGATACCGAAATGTCTCATTGGAGATGGACAAACAGAAAAACATACATTACCTCTGGCACAAAGAAGGTGAGGGAGGCGACCAAGATCATGGGAGCTGCACAAACAGCCGTGGCCACGTCCCAGGGGAGGGAGTGTGCCATGACGTAGATGGCCAGCTGGCCGACGGCGACAGTGATTTCTTCAACACTGAGCAACAGACCACGAATTCTTGGCTCACTAATCTCTGCAATGAGGACGGCCACGACAGGGCCCAGGGCAGTGTAAATGAGGCAAGAGACCACTCGACCCAGGTAGAAGAGCGAGAGGTAAGGAGTGAAGGCCTGTACAAGCCATGGAATTCCTGCTGGGAGAATGATGATAAGGAGAAATATCTTAGGCCCCAACGTCTCCATGCCTGGCCCAGTGGCGAGAGTCATGATGATGCCTGCGATTCCTGGCATAGACACTGTTGAAAGAAACAAGTGCATCATCAGACAAAACTGGTACGTCTACATTTTAAGCATTTACTATTAACAATAAAGGGTGTAATATATGTAATGCACGATCCAAAATATCTCCCTCCTCTACCCCTCGCACCAGTCTGTACAACAGGTTACATGGGGTAGTAAGGTTGGCGGGGAAAGGCCTGCGAGGAGGGCAACGGCGAGAGGACACATATTAGCCCACAGCGCATCGCGTCGTATGGATTTGGCACTCCATTGTCACTTCGTGTATGGGACTTTAGATTACGTATTTGATAGATATTATTCAAGTGATAACAAGAAACTGTTCCGGTACGACTAAACGAAGCAGAAACCACTTTGGAACAGTCCAGGTCTTGAATTTAGCAGTTAATAGACGCACCCATTTGCACGTTAAGGCGTCCTAAACTGCCCTCCTCCAGGGATGCTAGAAATATTCCGCGATGGCCCCTGACACAGAGGAGCAGATGAATGTCCTGCCTTTTGAAATAGGAACTACTGTATGATAACCATCATAACTGTTTCTAGTCTTATACGAGTTTTTTGTGGAAAAATATTCCCAGGTGCGCCCCTCAGCAAGACAGTCAAGAAGGACAACTCATGATCGAGATCGGAAGGCAAACATATCGGCACCCACTTACAAAGATGGCAATATTTCCGAGGTCTAATATAGCCTGGGATCAACTTCACACTAAAACGCATGATTTTAGCAACGTCTACGTCAGTAACTTAAAAAGGTTGTATTCTGCTCATCATGACCATCATTAATAGTATATTTTCATTTTGAAGATAGTTTAATTATTTTGTTGTGTGCAATACAATTAAGGAGATAATAAAAATTGTGAAATATTGTTCAATTTAAATAAACCTACTATGAGAACATAAGAACCTATACAAACAATTCTATAATAACCTAAGAAACGTTAAAAGAGAATTGTTTAATTATAATAAAAAATACTAAATGATGCACGCAATATATAGATTATAAGGAATACTTAAATAAGTCTGCTACTAATAAATATGAAGGAACTAAGGACTAGTACTGGAAAAAACTAAGCAATAGAAAGAAAACTGTTAAATAAAAGAAAATTAAACAATAACTTCATAAAAAACTAGTTATTCAAAATAAATTTGATGATAATTCATGAATGTATAAATTCAAGAAAATAATAGAAGCTGCAAACTTTACGAACTTCAGGGTATATAGTTGATACTAATGTATAAGCTAAAACACACACACATATATATATATATATATATATATATATATATATATATATATATATATATATATACATACATACATATATATATACATATATATATAAATACACACACACACATACACACACACACACACACACACACACACACACACACACACACACACACACACACACACATATATATATATATAAAGAGGGAGGGCGTGAGTTCCATACATCAGCCCGAATCACTGGCTCGCCGCGCTTTGGCGCGCTGCCGCGGCGGACAGCCGCGCAGCACTTTTCGTGCGGTTTCTTTTCACGCCTAGCGGCGTCACCCGTCGTGAAAGGGTTAATATCATTTGATGGTCATTGATACAACTTTAAATGTAGAAACATAATTTATTCAAAAAGCAATAATTGTAGAGGTGACTGGCTGGCGAACCGATTGATAAAATCCATAAAGTTATAGCTTGATGTTTCTTGGCAATTCCACTGGCTTCACCGTTTATCTTTCTCTTCACACCCGACATTTTTGATGGATTGATGCAAATTGTAGCACAAAAATTGTCGGTAAGCAAGGACACAGTGAGGAGAAGCTTCGTGTTTATGCCGGGAGGGAAGGCGAGTGATGGGTACAGCTGAGTGAGCGCGGCGGTGCCGTGGCGTGGCAGACTCGTGAACTATATTCGCGCCAGGGAAATTTGAAGTTTGCTAGCATCTTTCAAACATTAAGTATTAAAAAAAAAAGTTCGTATGTACGGAATGTGCGTAAGTAGAATGTTCTTAAGTAGGGGGACTATCTGTATATGAATAATTCTCTCTCTCTCTCCTCTCCCTCTCCCTCTTTTCTCTCTCTTCCTCCTTTCTCTCTCTCTCTCTCCCCACCCTCTCTCTCCCTCCTCCCTCTCTCTCCCTTCCCTCTCTCTGTATCCCCCCCCCTCTCTCTCTCTCTCTCTCTCTCTCTCTCTCTCTCTCTCTCTCTCTCTCTCTCTCTCTCTCTCTCTCTGTCTTTCTCTCTCTCCCCTCTCTCTTTCTCTCTCTCCCCTCTCTCTTTCTCTCCCTCCTCTCTCTCTCTCCTCTTTCTCCTCTCTCTCCTCTCTCTCTCCCTTTTTCTCTTGTGTGTTTATATGTATGTGTATATATATATATATATATATATGTGTGTGTGTGTGTGTGTGTGTGTGTGTGTGTGTGTGTGTGTGTGTGTGTGTGTGTGTGTGTGTGTACAATATTTATATATATGTATATATATACATATATAAATATAAATATATATTATATATATGCATATATATATACATATACATATCAATATATATATTATATCTATAATCATGTAATCATGTGTGTGTGTGTGTGAGTGGTGGTAGAAAAACCCACAATGCAAAAACGAGACTTTTGTTTTTGAATTTTGGATCATATAAATTAGGATCATTTATATATATGAGTATGTATAAATGAATATAAATGAATTCCAAGCCTTACCTAGCCAGGTCACATGCGCATCAGGAAGGGTAAAACTTGTGTTATCATCTTGAATTTTGGGCAAAACAGCCGACCAGCCAATTACTAATCCAACATGTAGCTTAGATGCTGCCACAATAAATCCAAAAATAATCTGTTGGGAATAAATAAAAATTACATACTGTCAGGGATACTCAAGTACATTCAACGTATTCTTAATAGACACTGTCTGTGCCTACATTATTTGTCTATCCCACTCAGTAATAAACAGTGGTATCAGTACATAAATGGTATCATATCACATAAGTAGTAGACGGCTGGAGTTAATACCCTTTTTTGTGTTGGATACCAAGAGCCCTCATTGGCCGTGCAAACATTTTAAAGTCTTGTTTTATACCCAGAATGATTACAATCTTTACAACACCAAAAGTGCAAAGGAACACACTGTTAATTACTTTAGCTGCTGGTAGATGTCATTAAAGTCCAGTATTAAAATTATTATTTTCCCGATAACCAGATCTTGTACAGTGAAATGATCTGAAATTTCTTAGCATTTTGCATTGTTATCTGTTAAATGCTGTGTTCATTCATTATAATTTTGTTGTGAAATGTCTCTGCACATAGATGTCTCTGCCAATGCTAAGCCTTGCTTGATTTCACTTTTCCTTAAATTGGCGGGATTTTATGAATATCGATGGTGCGAGCTACCTTAATGGCACACACTCGTGGTCGAAACTCTGTCCGAGCGAACACCTAGTTAAAACGCAGAAGCAATAAACAATAAGTGTGGTGCCACTTGAGCTACCCTGGAGCCCGGGGCCTCTCGTCTCGCATGACTTTATTGTTTCTGAGTTCCCGAAGTAAATAAAATAACGTAAATTCTGTATTTACAGATACTAGTGCTTTGCCAGCACCTTCAGTGCTTTGTTTTTGCAGGTGACACGAGGCTACAGTAGGCGTAGTCAGCACCCCACCTCGGAGCCCCAGCTCTCTTCTACACTAGGGTAGCCCTTGTGGCTTTGACCCCTGGGTAGGGAGGCCCAGTAGTCTGGGGAGTCATTTGGGCGCACTTTTTCTTTGATTCTAATTTCTCTTCCTTATAATGTGACTTTCCTGAGCCTACCGCAGTTCCTCGTGAACTCCCGTATTCGCTTGGGAGTGGGCATTGAATTACCGTCCTTCGCCTGGGCAAGTTCGGCGGTAAGGAGGTGTCCCACACATAACTCGATCCCTCTGTGGTACTGGAGAACGCAGCCAGGCTTCCACTGAGGGGGTAGAGGACGTTAAACTGCCTTACTCTCTTAGCTATTGCTGTTAGGTTTATACCAAAAGTTAAGTGTTTTTGATCCCTTCACGACAACATTTGTGAGACAAGGGGTCGGACCTGGTCCGATACCCAGAATGATTGATTCCCCGGATACCCCTTCTCCTCGAAGAGGAGGGACGACTCATGACCACTCTTTGACGAATCCGACTACGAACAATGGTACCCCCACTAATGACAAAACAAGACGACCACTTTTTGAGATCCCCGTGAATGAAAATCAGTCGCTTCTGAACGTTAACCCCTTTATCATCAAAAAGGTCCTTGATGGTCAAGTGGACGGCGATTTTGATTTTGTCAAAAAATTGCGAGATGGAAGCCTCCTTGTTAAATGATCTTCGAGTTAAAGTAACTACTCCTATTGGCCCAAATACCTGTAAGGGAGTAATCTTTCACAGGGATTTGAGGACGATGGAAGAAAGTGAAATTATCGAGAGCATGAAGGACCATGACGTAGTGCAGCCCTGTGCAACCTGCGCCCAAGGGCCGCATGCGGCCCTCAAAGGCTTTCATTGCGGCCCTTTCTCCTAAAAATAAATAAACTATAGTGCAGCCCTCAGAGAGAGAGAGAGAGAGAGAGAGAGAGAGAGAGAGAGAGAGAGAGAGAGAGTTACCAAGTAGAGCCCACCGAAAGTTTGACAAAATTCATATTCTCGTGTACCAGTATCACCATATTTTTTCTATTTCGTTCACTAAGGTACAGATTTTAATTATATTAGAAGAGAAAATAATATATTACTTGACATTTTTAATTATTAGATTGAGTGATCATTGGCTGTCTGTCTATGAGTCTGACACGTATGGTTCACGTACTGTAGTATGGTACGTGTGCTCTCGCCTGTCAGTACCGCTGCCTCACCAGTCTCCGTTGTGACTTCATTGGTTGTGGTTGATTTGTGATTACCAGTACGTACTGTAAGTTGTTAATGTTGCAGTTTTGTGATTGACTTTAGAAAATATGC